CCCCTAACCACTTGCCTGCCTACCTGATCACCCCTAACCACTAGCTTGCCTACCTGATCACCCCTAATCACTCTGCCTGCCTGCCTGATCGCCCCTAACCGCTTGTTTGGCGTTGGGGAGCCCCGCGAGGGGCTGTGGTGGTTCTGGTCTCTGGTTGCTCTGGTCGTTACACTTATGGTGGCCGGCCTTTTATTATATAGGATGGGTGGAAACCACTCTGGAGGGAAACTCTCAAAACTGTTGAAAATGTTACTTCTGGGAAGCAGTCTGGGACTGAGGGGGGTTGTCAAGAAGGACTGTAACTTTACAAGTATTTGAATTTTTTACTGAGATTTGATCCTTAAAATATTCATAATTAGCAACAATTTACCAAAAGGAAGGGCTGTTGCTGAACTTGCAGATCCTTGGTCCTCTTCCTTTTACTGCTTCCTAAGCCCTACTTAGTGGGGAGAGGGGGGGAGAGCCTGCAAATACAGACCCCAGGGGTGTACAGTCTTCTGAAGCTCATCCCCCAGAGTGTGTGTGAGGGTGGTCTCTGGGGGAAACAACCCACCAAGGCACTTGTGTGGCTGCCTGTCTTCCCCACAAGATTGGGAGTGCCTCATAGACCGGGATGGGGTCTGCCCCTCATCTCTCTGGCCCCCAGGGCTGGTCCTTGGAAGATGCTCACAGGAGGTTACTTGAACTGAACAGCACTGACTTGGAAAGGAGAGGGGAGGGGAAGTGTGTATGTGTGCACACACATATGTATATCTGCCTCAAGACAAGGCTCCTATTGAGAAGTATATGAGTGGCTGTCCCCAGAATGGCTGATCCTGGGAGGACAGACTGAGGGCCATCCTAGGCTGTGGAAGGAAGAAGCTAAGATTGTGTTTTAGGTGGGAATATTGTTGGAAGCAACACCGATGTGTGTGCAATAATCAAAGGGGAACCTGTGCCCTCTCTGACCAATAGTTGGTGGAACCCTGGGGACCCAAGGGGTCTGATCTGATCTGCGTCCCTATCCCGGGCAGGAGAGGGGCCTACCTGCCCTCGTCAATGAAGTCGATGGCCAGGGTGCTGATAATGAAGACAAACAGGCCGGCGATGAACATGTGGTAGATGGTCCGGAAGTGCTGCACCTCCATCAGTTCACTGGAGGGAGAGGGCCCTGGATGTCAGTGCGGAAGGGTCCTCAAGGTCATGTGGACTGGCTCAGGCACCGTACACATGTGAGGATGGAGTCTACTGATTGGAAATTCTGAGGGCTGGGATGTGACTGGGACATCTGCCCAAAGCCCTTTCTTGCCCAGACACCACGTATCCTGGTGGCCTTTCTTCCACACTTACACACAGGACAAGTGGGGGAACTGAACCTTAAAAACCCTTTCCAGGGCCTCTCCCAAACCATCTAGAACCTGGGGATGAGAACTGAGGTGGACCCCTAACCAAAGCACTTCCTTTTCCTCCCATCCTGTCCTCTCCCTTAACTTACTCAAGCAGGGACTTGCGGTTGATAAAAACTTTCCGTTTCTTCAGGGATGGCTCCTGGATTCTGAATTGAGAGAGTTGTTCTGGGTCAGGAGCCAAAGGAAGAAGGCAGTGGGCAGAGGGCCTTGCAGAAGATCAATACTTGGGAGCCAAGAGGAGTAGTAGCAGAAGGTCAAGGCTAGGGCCAGAGGGCAGGATCAGGCAGAAGGTCAGGGCCAGGGCAGAGCATGGCTGCAGGTGGAGGTCAGAGCCAGGAAGGCAGAGGCAGTAAAAGGAGAAGGGGGAAGGTTAAGGTGAGGGTCACGCCAGCGCTGGCAAAGGGCGCATGAGGTGATGTTTATGGCTTGCAATCTTACAATGGTGGAGCCTGCTCCAGCCATTCATCAGCCCCTGGCTCCTCAGACTCTTACTTGTTCGGGGAATCTGGAGGAATAGTGGGCAGAGGTCTGCCTTGTGGCGGGTAGGATTGTACGGCCTCTGACATGGCGCGATCCAGCAGCTCCAGCAGCTGTCTCTGTGCTTGCTCCAGCAGCTGCGCCTTCACAGCCTACGGGACAAAGCAGGGCCCACTGTCCCTCCATCCGGTTTGCCATCCTCTCATTCACTCAACATTTACTGAGCTCTCTATGCGCACAAGTGCTAGGGAGAGAAAACACGGTTCCTGCCCACAAGTTCCCCAATAATTTCTCTCCCTTGGGCTTCCCAGGGGCGCAGTGATGATCAAGGAGAAATAGCAGTAGTGACATTTCCAGTTCCAACCGCCTTGTCATCTCTGACTTGACTCTCTTCTCCCTGACCCCAGCCTTCCCTCTCCTGACCTCTAGCCCCACCAAGAGAAGACTGTTCACAGGCTGACTTTTGGCTCCTGCCCTGATGACCTGTGTTTCAAACCCCTTCATCTTAACCCTTAGCTCTTACCTGATCTGAGGGGTTTGAACCCAAGATCAGATTGTCTTTATCACCAAACTGGTCCTCTCCCCTACTGCCCTCCACTTTAAGACCTGCTCATCTTGACCTCTGACCTCTGAGGTCCCTCACCTCCATATGTTGAGTCCATTGCACCAAGTCAGGGCCTCCAAGCGCCTCAGCATTTCCTAAAAGGAGGGGTCAAAGGGCACACCCAAAGGGGAGGGGTTAGGGTTCTGCTGCCTGGGGTGAGCCCAGAGGCATCCTCTGCCAGGAAGTGCTTTCTGTGTGCTCAGCAGCCGCCCAGCCCCGCAACCAGAAGATATCTAGCATCATGGGTGCGGCAGTCAGAAGAGGAAGTTATTTTGTCAGGGGGTGAGGAGGCCATTGGTAAGCAGGGAGCCTGATGACTTTACTGGAAACAGGCTTCTCAGGGAACAGGAAGTCTCTCTGTTTACCCTCTGAGGTTGGAGAATCAGAAAGATGAGGCAAGGCCACGGCTCTGAATGCCCCTTTTCTGTTTCCGTCTTCCAGCTGGGTGGATAGGAGCAGAGGCCAGAGTCTGCCTTCCCAGGACAGCTGGAGGGGTTCCAGGTAGAGAGGAGGAGCCCCCTCTCAACAGGGTATCCTCACTTCCAACCCCACCTGAGCTTTCTCACTCCCAGAGGGTGGCTCACCTCCTCCGGAGGGTCGGTCCTCCTGCTCTCTTCTCGACCCCGCTCTCCTCCGAGAGCGCACTGCCTTTGGCTCCATGATGTCAGTCTTGTCTGGGCAGCAGGTGGCCTCTGCCATGTTCCTTCCTTCCCTTCACTGCCTGCCAACCCGCTGAGCTCCCATCTCTCAGCCCAGCGACAGCTCCAAAGACGAAAGTCCTCTCAGGAGGAGGGGGCCTCCAGATGACAGGGTATCTGATCCGGAGGACAGAGCTTCTCAGCTCCAGGCTCTGTGGGCTGGCGCAGGGATGGACTGGATGCAACCCCGCAACAGCCCAACCACCTGCCAGATGCCCAGCTCTGAGCAAGTGTGCGCTCCCTCCCACAGGAGTAGTGACTGTGCATGTGGTGGGAAGGGGGACTTTGCCTCTTTGAGGCTTATCACCTAGCACGGCTCACCTTCCAGCAGGCTGAAGGTCGGGGCGGAGTCAGAAACCTCTTCAGTTATCAGTACACTCAGCTCCCTTAGACCGTGAGATAAGGTGTGTGAAAGGACCTTGTCAACTTGAAAGCATTGTATGCCGGTGTTTAATATACCTATGGAGTTGACACCTGTGACAATTGTGGAGCTGTTGAAGTATGGTACCTATTTGCTTTGTTTAACAATGGAAAGGTTATTTTGATTTTCTGAATTATATAAATCATCCCATTCGATTAAATGCCTTATTGATTGTAATGTGAATATCCCATAGGTTGTGGTCATACTGGTCTTAGAAAGCACATTTTCCTTTACCTGGGAAGGACAGCACAGTTATCCCAAGGTCAGAGGGCTCCAGATAACATGCCTAAATTTAACCCAGGTTCCTCATTCTAGACCCGAGGGCTCTAGATAATGTGTTTCTGTCAATTCAGTGACCCCACACCCAAAACTATAATTAACTTGCTTAAGTCTGCTTCTGTAAACTGCTTTTTTGCAAACCAGGTTCCTCATTCCAAACCTTGAGATGTAATCAATACCTTTGTGATTTTTTGCCTATATAACCTTGGAGCTGCGACTATCTTGTTACTATGAGATTTGGGGAATGGCCCCTCATAGTCCCGGATTGCAATAAATGTGACTCTTTAATTCGACTTCTTGAGGCGTCCTTCTGTGATTCCCGGGGTACATTACAACACTGTGGCCCCTCTAGGAAGTGCTAGGTGCCGTGTCCCTGAATGTCAGCTCTTCCCTACGCTGGCTTGGGTAGCAGGTAGGCAAAGTAGACACATATTTAGCACCTAAGGAATGCCAGGCATTGTCACATGCGGAAGAACTAGATTTAAATCCTCCCTCTATCATTTCCTGGCTGTGTAATTTCAGGCTAGTGACCCAAATATTTTAAGCCACAGTTTCCTCCTCTGAAAAACAGGGGCAGAGTCCCTTCCTCACAAAATTACTATAAGCACAAAAAGAGGGAATCCAGGTAAAAGCACATGGTCCAGGGCCCAGCCCATGAGGGGAGCTCAATAAATAATAATGTCATCTCCTTTTTAGTAGGATGTAGCAGAAGGGTGGGTACTTTGAGAGTTCCTCTTTGTTAGGTTCCTGCTGGGGATTAACTATTAATTCTTCCTCTCCCCTGTGTCCAAAGATCACTTAGAAACAAGATCACAACCTCATGCCAAGGCTGCGAGCTCAGTGACTCCCCACCTCTGTCTCCGCCCCCGACTCCCTGGTGGGTAGTTGGGTGAGGCTTCAGGGCTTGAAGCCTCTGCCAATGGCTGCCTCTTTCATTCCAAGAGCAGCGGGAACGACCAAAGGTAGTCAGTCCACAGAAGAGGCAAACGGCTATTGGAGGGCTGTAAAGGGGGGAGAGAAGGGCCAGGGGCTCCAGAAATGTGAGAGGTGGACACAGAGACATAGACCAGAGCCCCCCAAAACAGCTTTATTAACACCCCAAGCCAACACCAACAACTTTTCCATGTGTGATGTCTCAGGGATAAGGGGGCAATGGGGCAGGGCCTGAAGGTGGAATGTGGGACTGAGTTACTCATTACTCAACAAATGACCCAAGATGACAGCCCCAGGCTCCTGCCAGTGGCCCTGCAGGACCCCACCCAGCCTTAGCCACTGCTCCCTGCGGAGCAGGAGGAGCCGCCATTGCTGTCCGCGGATGCTGGCAGGGGCTGGCCCATCCGGTCCACGCACCAGCAGGGCCCTCGGCGCTGCCCCTGGGAGGAGCGGCACTGGGGAGAGAGGCATACAGATCAGAGGTGAGGCCAAGGCTCCAACAGGAGAGGTGGGAGGGGTCCTGTGGGTTGGGGATGGGCTGTGGACTCCTGAGTCTGAGTGTGCGGAAACAGCTAAGAGTTCTCAGGACCATGAGTCCTGCTAGGTTCCCTTCCCTTGCTTCTCTTCTTCTCCACCCACAAAATCGTGCCTGTTCTTCTAGGCCAGAACAGCAGTTCTCAAAGTGTGGCTCCCAAACCAACAGCATCAGCATCACTAGGGATGGAGTTAGAGATGCAAATTCTCAGGCTCTGCTGGTGGGGCTCAGCCACCTGTGCATTCTAGGTGACCTCTAGGTGACCCTGATGCACTTCACACTTGTGTACCTCTGAGTTAGGCATTCCTTGGGCAGTCTAACACCTCTGCTATAGTGTGTGGTTGGTTATTCTGTTTGTGTGGGCTCTGAAGTTGGGAGATCCTTAAAGGCAAGGACAGTGTCTTATTTATGCAACCGTATAAGCCCCCGCCCATCCCTGGTAGGAGCCTTGTACTGATGGACCAAGGGGGAGAGAGGAGTGGCCTCACCTGCCGCTTCCGGTAGAAGCCCCGATGGTCACAATTAGGCACATAGAGAGTTTGAGACCCTCGGAAGATTTCGGTCTGGAGTTGCCGTAGCACTGAGTCCAGATGTTTGCGGCATGGGCCCTGGGAGAAGGGAGAGCAAGCAGCTTAGAACCAGCTGAGCTCCACGGCACAGTCCCTGGGCCCCACCAGCCAGGCTCCCAGGGCTAACCTGGGAGACTTCTCTGAGCCCCAGGAAGCAGTCCCACGTGGACATCCTCAGGGCTCCCCACCCCCCTGCTCCCTGCCAGCCCCACACGCACCATCTCAGTGTCTTGGACACCTCCAGGATTGGGCCTGGCCGGAGTGGTAGAGGTCCCCAGGTTCCTTTGTTGGTCTCTGCGGTTCGTGTCCTGTTGGCGAGTGGTCCCCACTTGGGGTTTACTCTCCTTAGGATTCCCCCCTACGGCCAAAAAAAGATGGGGGAAGAAAAGGCCAGAAATCAGCCAGATGTCAAAGGCCGGCGCCACGTGGGAAAGAGCCTTGCTCACCCCCTACTCACGGAAGTGGGAGAAAGAGAGGGGCTTTTGGAGCGGTAGAGGTGAAGGGGGGTTAGAATCTGGCTCCACCCTTACCTTCTCCTGGCCTCAGCTTCTTTCCCTGGCAAATGGTATTATCACATTTCCTGACAAGGCTTAGAAGGGAGGAACACTTTGGAAAGCAAAAATCGTGAACAAATACAATAGTTTTCCCTTATCTGTGGTTTCACTTTCTGTGGGTTTAGTTACCTGCAGTCAACCATAGTCTGAAAATATTAAATAAAAAAATTCCAGAAATAAACAATTCATAAGTTTTAAATTATGAATAGTGTGATGAAATCTCTCGCCCTCTTGCTCCTTCCTGCCTGGGATGCGAATCAGCCAATTGTCCAGTGTCTCTATGCTGTATATGCTCCCCATTCATTAGTCACTTATTAGCCATTTCTGTTATCAGACCAACAGTCATGGTATCTCAGTCCTTGTGTTCAAAACCCTTATTTTACTTATTAATGGCCCTAAAGTGCGAGAGTAGTGATGCTGGCAACTCAGATATGCCAAAGGAGCCAAAAAGTGCTGCCTTTAAGTGAAAAGATGAAAGTTCTCCACTTAATAAGGAAAGAATAAAAATCATATGGTGGCCCAGCTGGGGGTGCTCAGTGGTTAAGTGTCAACCTATGAACTAGGAGGTCACGGTTAGATTCCAGGTCAGGGCACATGCCTGGGTTTCAGCTCAATCCCCAGTAGGGGACATGCAGGAGGCAGCTGATCAATGATTCTTTCTCATCATTGATGTTTCTATCTCTCCTCCTCCCTTCCTCTCTGAAATCAATAAAAAAAATTTTTTTTAATCGTATACTGAGGTTGCTAAGATCTACAATAAAACAAATCTTCTTTCCATGAAATTGTGCAGAAGGAATAAGAAATCCATGCTAGCCCGGCCAGTGTGGCTCAGTTGGTTGAGTATCATCCCACGCACTAAGAAGTCATTGGTTTAATTCCTAGTCAGGGCACATACCTGATTTGTGAGCTCAGTCCCCAGTAGGGAGCGTGCAGGAGGCAGCCAATGGATGTTTCTTTCTCAGCAATGTTTCTATCTCTCTCCCTCTCCTTTCCTTTCTCTCAAAAAAAAAATCAATGAAAACACATTAAAAAAAACACACAGAGAAAGTCATGCTGGTTTTGCTGTCACACCTCAAACTGGAAAAGTTATGGCCACACTAAGTGCTTAGTTAAGAGGGAGAAGATATTAAATTTGTCAGTAAAAGACACGAACATAAAACGTGTTCCAACTGACGGCAATGTGTTGTGACAAATAACAGTGAGCCTATACGAAGACCTAAGCAAGGGATTCCTTGAAATGAGGGACATCAAGACATTTACTGCAAGTAAGAGATGGTTACACAGATTCAGGAATAAGTTTGGACTGAAAAAAAAATAAAAATTATTGGAGAGGCTGCATCTGCTGGTGTAGATCTGCTGCCACATTTCTGGCAGAGACAAAGGCGTTGATTAGGGTTTGGTATTAACCTCGGTTTCATTGGAACGTCTTCTCCAGCGGATAAGGGGGACTACTGTATATTGGGAGGCCTTGGGCTTGGGGTGAAAGACCTGGCTGTTCCACCAGAGGCCAGCAGGGGGTGCACTAAACCAGGGAGATGGGGCAGAAAAGCAATGGGAGGGGTCAGCAGCAACCAAGTGGAATGTGTGTCCCTGCTGTGTCCCTGCTGTGACCCTGCTGTGACTCAGCCCACCTCTTCCAAGCCTGCGATGTGGTTACTTTTGGGACAGTAGGGGTCTCACCCTTCTGGTCCCCTGTGGCTCAGCCCAGCTCAACCCTAGTGGTCCCAGGAACACGTGAGATTCGTCAACCTAGACCGGCAGAGGGCAGGTTGCAAATTGCGGGAATGAGGGGCTTCCAACCTGCAGGTCGCTTCTGGCTCTGGGGAAGTTTCACATATGGTGTCTGGGGAGGCGGGGTGGGGAGTGAGCTCAGGATGGAACAAGATGAAGAAATAAGTCAGGCCCTGGCTGGTTTGGCTCAGCGGATAGAGTGTCGGCCTGCAGACTGAAGGGTCCCGGGTTGATTCTGGTCAAGGGCACATGCCTGGGTTGCAGGCTCAATCCCCAGTAGGGGTGTGCAGGAGGCAGCCTTTCAATGATTCTTTCTCATCATTGATGTTTCTATCTCTCTCTCCTTCTCCCTTCCTCTCTGAAATCAATAAAAATATTGAAAAAAGAAAGAAAGAAGTCAGGGCATCAGGACGAAGGAAAGGCAGGAAGGGGAGCATGAATTTCTTGGAATCCACCCAGCTGTAAAATTATTATGACCCCTGAAAAGACTATCTCTCCGTGCCCACAGCAAGCTCTGCTGAAGTGCCCAGCCCCTAAGCATAGATAGAGCCCTCATCTGCTTACTACTTACAACCGGAGTCACTTCATCTGCAGTCCCAAATCTGATACTCCTTCCTCCACACTCCTCGGCCCTTGCCCCTCATTCCTTCCATTTTAACACCCTATCACGACTTTGCTCCTACTGCCTCCTCTGACCCACCCGTTTCAGGAGGACCTCTAGCAGCCTGGACGCAAGCATCTGGGATTGAAACCAGGGCTCCACGTTAATTTTCCAGCCCTTCCCATGGAAGAAACCAGGAACTCGGGTGCCCCTGGGGTGGGGGACGTTTGTATTTCCTGCCCTCCCCATTTCCCTGCTGCCCCCCCATCTTTCAGGCTCTGACTCACTTCTGTTGTGCCCGCCCCCTGACTCAGCCTTCTATTCTCCACTCTGGAGTAGGGTGGGGTGGCAGCTTTAAATTGTAACCCTGCTTTGATAGGTTCCTTCTTTCCCCACCTCGAGTCCCCACCGCCAGGACCCCAGCACCTACTCTCTGACCCTGTGATGGTCTGAAAAAACTCTGGATGGAGGGCACCTCTGTTCTTAGCCTCATGTTCAAGTGCTTTGGACACCCCGATAGTAAAAGGAGAGGGGGAGCTATTTCTCAGGGTGTGCAGGATGTGGGAGTCTGGTGTTCCATTCCCTCTTTTTCCAAGTGGAAGCTGAGAACATCTGGGTCCCTTCTCCAACTTGGGGGTCTAGGACTGAAGGGGATGGACCACTATGGCCATAAACCCCTCCACCTCTCCATCTCTTTCCCCTCAAGAGAAAGTGATAGAAGGATCAGACACCTCCCCGGCCCTAGCTGCCCCCGGGCCTTCCAGCTGCCTCCCGCACTTCCCCCTTCCCCCTCTAACGTGTCCCCCAGGGTTGGGGTGGGGGGAGAAGCGTCAGGGGCAGGACCCAGAGGCTGGCAGGGCTGCCTGCGCCCACCTCCCCAGGACCCTGGCTGCGGAGAAGCGGGTCTCAATGGGCGGGGCGGGCGCTGACTCACCCGTGGGGCGCGCGCGCCGGGCGGCAGCGGCCCCTGCCCAGCAGCAGCGCCCGCAGAGGAGCCTGGTCTTCCTCCGGCGGCTGACACTGCAGTCCTGGGGCGCAGTTAGGGGGTGTAGACCCCGCACTGCTGCCCCCTCCCTCCTGAGGCAGCCCCCAGCCCTCCGCACATCCCTTCTGCGGGGCTGCCTCGCACCCCTCCTCTGCCGCGCAGCCCCCTGGACAACCCGTTTGCGGCCCCCTTGCCCGCAGCCTGGGCACCGTGCCAAGGCCGCCT